AGATACAGCAATAATCACAAGTTATCTAAGACATTACTTACAGTGATCATCACAAGTTATCTAAGACATTAGATACAGTGATCATCACAAGTTATCTAAGACATTAGATACAATAATAATCACAAGTTATCTATGACATCAGATACAGCAATAATCACAAGTTATCTAAGACATTACTTACAGTGATCATCACAAGTTATCTAAGACATTAGATACAGTATTCATTACAAGTTATCTAAGACATTAGATACAGTAATCATCACAAGTTATCCATGACATTACTTACAGTATTCATTACAAGTTATCTAAGACATTAGATACAGTGATCATCACAAGCTATCCATGACATTACTTACAGTGATCATCACAAGCTATCCATGACATTACTTACAGTGATCATCACAAGTTATCCATGACATTAGATACAGTGATCATCACAAGTTATCCATGACATTAGATACAGTGATCATCACAAGTTATCTAAGACATTAGATACAGTGATCATCACAAGTTATCCATGACATTAGATACAGTGATCATCACAACTTATCCATGACATTAGATACAGTGATCATCACAAGTTTAATTAATTGTCTTACCTAGAGACCCTTCTCCTGCAACTTGATTAACTAAAGCAATTTTGCTGCCGGATTTTGAAGCTGAACTATCTGGTGTGCTTCTGGAACTACAACCATCGACATCTCCATTCACTAGAAATTCTTGTCCTCCCACTAACACCAGTCCATGGTCCTGCAGAGATTATACAAGTCACATGACTAAACTAAACCTCATCCTCCAGGTGAAAAGAGTTTGACTCTTAAGGTTCTTGTAAAGGTAAGCCTGTATATTATTATGTAATGTAAGTAATAACTGTTCACCAGAGTTGACTTCAACGATGCTTGTAACTTGTTTGTTTTTTAATTTCACGCAAAGCTACACAAGGGCTATCTGAGCTAGCCATTCCTAATTTAGCAGTGTAAGAATAGAGGGAAGGCAGCTAGTCATCACCACCCACCGCCAACTCTTGGGCTACTCTTTTACAAACGAATAGTGGGATTGACCGTCACATTATTATGCCCCTACAGCTGAAAGGGCGAGCATGTTTGGCGTGGAGAGGATTCGAACCCGCGACCCTCAGATTGCGAGTCGAACGCCCTAACCACCTGGCTATGCCGGGCCTGCTTGTAACTATCAAATTACTTATTTGAACTCAACGGTTACTCAAACACAGAGAAACGTAACAGTATCGAAAAGGACACTGTAAATCTTCAATGAATGTACCACTAAAAATATTACAAAATCAACAGGTTTTCAATCTCTCTAACATGCTTTATTTAATAACTTTTAATCTATTACACTTTACTTGTTAGATTCATTAAATAAATTGATTCACAAATTCGTCTTTATCTTTTGATATTGAAAATATTAAACTCACGTGCATTACAAATTTCTTGATAATTAAATTCTCATCTCCACTGCTACTAGCAAGATTAGGTATTTTACTAGGAAACAGTATCAAGAGAGTTAGTAACCACAAGGCTTTTCCAAATGAACAAAACAACCCTACTCTAAACCAACACCCTGGGGTGCCAAGATATCTCTTCTAATTCGTGCAACAGTATCTGGGCACATGACCTCTTTGTTCCATACTGTATATATATATCTGTGTCAGTGTAAACTACTGGTGGTGAAAAAAACCTTGTCAAAATGTTGTACATTTGCTGATGTGTTAAATTTATATTAAAGTTTTTCTTCATTACCCATTCAAGCATTATTAAATGATTAGTTAGATCTCATAAAGATTTATTTTTACTTTCATTCTGTAGACTGAAAAAAAAAAATCACTATGTGAAATGAGTAATTATTAAAAAGGTCTTATAATTCTTTATCTTGTGATATGTTTAATGAGTAGAATCTGAAACTTATCATGTAGATCAAAAGATCACAACTTGTAATTCTTTATCTTGTGATATGTTTAATGAGTAGAATATGAAACTTATCATGTAGATCAAAAGTTCACAACTTGTAATTCTTTATCTTGTGATATGTTTAATGAGTAGAATCTGAAACTTATCATGTAGATCAAAAGATCACAACCGTGTGTTATTTTTTATGCAGGAGTGAAACTACTACTTGTGGAAAAGGAAGTAGTTTTTTATAACCTCGAATAGCTTCATATGTAGTAAATGTAATGGTTTAACAAATCTGAAATATAAATAATTTGTTTTTTTCACCATAAAAATATTCACCTCTATCAATTCATCTCTCTGTCTCAAACCTTCTTTTAAAAACTCAATCTCTTCTTTGACTTCCTTAAAATCCCTTTGTAACTGATCATATGCCTGAAGAGAGTAAGAGAGAGAAAAAAACATGTTTTACATTAGTATTAAACCATTATTAATAACAGCAAGAGGAACAAGATAAACACAAGTGACAAATAGGGTGAGCCATAGCCAACCTCCCATTAAAAAATGAAACAATAAGTAAAAAGATATATACATGAGACTAACATCTAATAAATGACTGTATCAGGGGTGGAAATTATTCTGGTACTTTAAGTTCATTGTAATAATTACAAAATAAAAAATTATTGTGTTTGACCACTAAATCAAAGTTTTCAAAATGTCCATCAGCATCTAATAATGCACATAATGTGACATAAAAGTTATAAAATTCACACAAAATAAAACAGAATATTCTTATTATCTTTACTGGTGAATATATTTTATGAATTTTACAGGCATGAATTCTTTTGGAATCTTTTTACAGACGATTCATAAATTTACGGAAATTTAGCCCAACACACAATGTGACGCAAACATAAACCACCAATCACTGTCTGCAGTCACTCAGAGAGGTTAGCTTCTTTTAACAAAGTTATGATATATTAAAAAAAAGACAAATATGGTAAAAAATTAAGATGACAGAGTTAGTATTACTACATGATAAAAATAAAAAACTAGAATTCACCTTTTTAATGTAGTAAAGCACCCAATCTCCTCATCCAGTATACTGTTAGAATAAGTATCCACATACAAAACATGCACACAGTCCATAACAAAATAAATAAACAAAAAAATAACTTTAGCCACTTCTAATCTTTTTCTCTTTTATATGAAGCTTATAAGAACATCACTATGTGGGTCTTAATTTCTTTTCATTTGTTAAGAATTCAATTTTTATCATGTTTAATTAACTATCAACTCGCATTAAGCTACGTTACCTTATTTAAAATTATCATACATTTATTGAATATACAGCTTATTACATCTTGGAGATATAGAAGTTCATAGTCGACAGTCAAAGTTCAGTGATTTCTTGCGACATCACTAACGTAAAGTATTATTCCTAATACAAGAACCTTATTAAATAGCCTATAAGTAAGTAAAAAAATCACCTTTAAATCACTATGGTAGTCATTTATTTAGTTCGCAACGTTTCAAGCAAAAGCTCTTTTTCAAGCCAGAATTAAATATTCCTGTAATTGTCATTAACCAATAGGCTTGTTTCTGGCTTGAAAAAGAGTGTTTGCTCGAAACGTCACCAAGTAAATAAGTTACTATCATAGTCTAAAAGACTCTAAAAGTCTAATTACTAAATAGCCTCCTGTATATTCCTTACCATATATCACACTTATCTCGTTATGAGTAAGCCTGACATATAAAGAGTAAAAATAATAACTAACATAAAATTAAACGTAGAGTGAGAAATTACTGAAACCCGCTAATCAGTTAATCGTCAGGCTCATTACTTATTACACTCAACTAGTCAATTACTCTCACATTATATGCCTAAAAAAAAATTATAACACCTAAAAAAACGGATTTCAATATGCGTGGTGGGCAGACTATGGAAAGCCCATTGTGTAACTTTGTGCTTAACAACAGATAAACATTATAGTAATGTATTGATTACTGGTTAGAAACAAAAATAAATGGAAAACCTAGATGATTATTTTCCTGTCCCTAATTGATGCTCGTGTTAATTAATCCAGTTAAGCTAGTTAAAAGATAATACAAGAAACAATGTACATACAAAAACTACAAATATTAAAGTTAATTCCAGTATGTACTTCTAATTTAAACAGTCACAATATATTCACAAAATCCTTTAAAAATGACACTGCATCAAACTGCAAAAACTGTGTTTTATAAAAAACGAAATAAAACACCCATTTCCATTAATTTGGATTTAAAACTTTTAGCTATTGAACCTTTAGCAATGCTTCTGTAATTTTTTGACAAACCCTTACTCGATATTTTTCTTTGCAGTCTTTCTTAATCTGGATATAATTTTCTTCCATTTCTTCTATTTCGTCTTTCAGTGTATCTACGTTGTAAGTGAGGGATGATTTCTCATTGTCTAACTGAGCGTTACTGACCATGGCTTTCTTGAACTTTTCTTCTATGTCTTGTAACTGATGCTACAACAAAACTGAATGATATTAATACAAACAAAATCATGTAAGGTCTTTCGTTTGTAACTGAAATTAAATGATATTAATACAAATAAAATCATGTAATGTCTTTCATTTGTAACTGAAACTGAATGATATTAATACAAACAAAATCATGTAAGGTCTTTCGTTTGTAACTGAAATTGAATGATATTAATACAAACAAAATCATGTAAGGTCTTTCGTTTGTAACTG